CMWKGSTGCAAACATACCCTCTCTCTTGGGAATTTCCTCTTGCAGGAGAACCACCACCTTCTGCCTTTCTTGGGCCTCTTCTCCATCACCAATTCATCAATGGTGCTCTGTGAACATGGCAGAACATGGGATGAAATCAGTCCTCAGCCCAGAGAGGCTCAGCCCTGCTGAGAATCATAGCCAGTAAAATGTGTTGTACCACTGACCTCAGGAATGTCCCTCTGGAAAGCCTGCAGGGACAGGACTATGGGACCAGCCACTGCCCAGCTGTAATATCTGGAAAAAGCAAGAGGGATGTTTTTTTTGCAGCATGGCCAGGTCCCACAACTACTTTGGTACAATCATGCTCTGGGATGTGGTCACATTCCTACAGGAGGGTTTCTGTAGGGRCAAAGGGGCCACGCTGTCCATTGTGGGATGAAGCAGCAGGAAAATCAGGCCACTCACTTCTTGTTGATCATTATCACCAGGTTCGGGTCACTGACRAGCTTTGGATTCTCAGCAAACTGCTGGTAGGAAACCATGTGCTTCATGAACTCCTCTGGTGGGAAAGAGGTGGTGTCATGCCATTGGAGGATAGAAAGGATTTCAGGGCTGCAGGTTCCCCCTACCCTCCCTCCTACCATGAGAGATCTTCCTGTTGCCCYCGAGGCCCCCGCACAGTGACAGGGCAACCGTGGGCATCGAGTCAGAGTCCATGGGACAGTTGGCAGGCAAGGKGGATGGCAGCTGGACACACAGAGGRCTGCTGGGGCTTCTCACAGGCCTCAAACTCGGCTCTGTGTCACTACTGCCAAGGGAAGAAACGGTGCTGACATCAGAGAATAGCTTTGAACAAACCTCCATCCTTTGTGCCAGAGGAATTGCTCAAGAATGTCTGAGCTTGGCCAGCTGGGGCAATTCATACCTCGTGGTGAAATAGAGAGGCACCTGTTTCTTGTCCAGCTTGGAGACGTCTTCCAGGTGAATGCCACTGGGACTCGTGCTAAGACTTTTTTTGATGGATCCTCAATGCACAGACRGAAGAGAGAGAGCTTAGCTGGATTGCCTTTCCAACCACCCCAACATTTATCAAGAAAGCCAACAGCACTTTCCYCCATCATATCCATGTACCATACAAACAGGACAGCCAGGTTTTTATTGGAAAAGCTGCAATAAGGCAACAGCAACAGAAGTGCCTCAAGGCACCTGCACTAGTATGATCCTTAAATACACCATCAAGGGGGGCGTATAAATGCTTCTCTGTGATTTTCCCCTTGACTTGGCATGCTCAGGATGAAGACATGAGCCAGGCCAGGGCTGTCAGAGACTTGAAGTTAAGATATGGCCTGTACTGCTGAGAAACCTTCTAAGTAAGCAAAAGCAGAGACATCCAAGGATGGACTTGGGGAACATAAGGTCACTGAAGGGTGGACACCTAAGCAACATCTCTTCAAAGCAAAGGAGCCTGTAGCACACAGAGAAGGCAAAGCAAACACACCACACCTGGAAGACCCAGGGCAGCCATGAAGGAGTTACACTAAATGGACACCCCAGGTGCTCATCTGAGTCAGACACATCTGCAGGCTCAAACACTACTTCCAACGCCACCAGTCACTCTCTCACCTTGACTCTTCTGYTTCTCCAGCTGGAACTTGGGGCCTTCTGAGCCTGCCTGATTTGGAGCAGTGGCCCCCTCAAAGGGTTCCACATTTATCTGAACCTCTGGCACAACACCCATATTTYCCTTCTGTTTCTGTTGTGGCACTGAGTAGGTTCCAAAATATCTCCTTGCCCTGACAGCACTGAGGATGTTCTTCAGCCTGGAGGAGCTGTTCCCAGCCTGGGGTGTAAGTGTTGGCTCAGTAACAGACACAGCCGAGGTACAGGGTATGCCTTGAGGTCCTGCTGGGCTTGAATCCCCTCCCAGACCTTCAGAGCTGGCAACAAGAGGGGTTGTCTTATCCACTGGGACCAGAGTCGCAGAGAGGATGGTTGATGCAGCAGCACTGATCTCTGTGGACTTGGCTGGTTCAACTCGCTCCAACTTATTCACCTCAARGAAAGAAGAATAGATTTGAGGATGGGAAGTTGCCCAAAGCATCAGGCAGAAGAAGACAATTCCCTAAGGCTGCTTGGTCATAGCCTCCTCTGCTTTCTACAGGTCTTTCATACACCTATTCCTAGCAGAAGAGCAARAGCAGGGACTCACCCGAGGGAGCATTCCCCAGGTCCACTTCAAGAAGGATTCAGCCCCTAGAAAAAAACTCTGCTGTGGTTTGATCTCCAGTTCAGAATCACTTCTGGGAGTAGGTGGACGGCTCAGTGTGAAGCTGCAAGAAGAGAAGGGGTTGTGGGACCTCACCTACACTACAGCCCCATGTCCTATCAGCACAAGGACATTTTGGGCCAAGAACTTTGTTAGACTGTTTCTCATAAAGTCACTTCTGCCCTATAAGATTGTCATTCCCAAAGGACCAAGACTTATGGAAGCTGAGGCCCAAGGAAGCAAAGTGCTATGCCAGCAGCTGTCCAGAGCAGCTCAGCAGCAGAGTRCCCTGTGCACAAAGGCTTCTCACATCTGTGAACATTGCCACAAGTGTCCCTCGGGTTTCCTCCAGTCACATCACATCAGGCTAGGAAAACCCTCCTCTCCTGACACCTCCAAGTCCCTTTTCCATACCACCTTCCCTGCCATGAGTCACGTGCCCTGCTCTCACCAGAGCTGAGCAAAACACCTTGGCTTTGCCCATTACCTGTCCACTGTGAGCAGCTCCCCATCGGAGTGCGGGTGTATCTCTTGGGGCTGCAATGACCCGGTATCTTCAAGGAGGTGAGCAAAGGATGAGCCTGCTGCATCACTGCAAAAGAGGAAAGAGAGGGCCCTTGTGCTACTCTCAAACAACAGCCTCCTCTCCAGAAAGCTGACAATACCCAGCTTCACCATTCCCACTGGCTTTCTAATCTACAGGAGACTGGACTCCAACTTGCAAACACTTTCCCGTTTCAGTGCTGCTGGGCATCACCAAGTGAACCCACAGGCTTGACCCACTGCATCACCCTGCCCACACCAAGCAGCTCACCTTGGGGCTGGCAACTTGCATGGTTCCTTCATTGACATCTCAGTGTTGGTCTCATCACAGCTGTCAGAATCAAAGTCCAATGCCTCCATCCTCTTGGACCTTCTCCTGYGTCTCTTCTTCTTGTGCAGCACCCCTGCAGCACTGGCATCTTCTGGTCCCAGCTGAACAGCATCCTTTGGGCGCTGCTCCTTGTAGATGGGAGATGTGCAGAGGAAGAAGGGGATGCTGCCCTGGAACAGGGATGGGGAAGAGAGCCTATCAGCTGCCTCTAGCACCCTCCTTTTCAGCCTAACAGCTCCTTGCTTTCTATGGAGCATACTATGGAACAGCACAACCAACAGCGCTGAGCCCTCAGCTCAGGGGTGGTCTTGTGGCCTGGCCTGAAAGGTTAGGGTCAGCATGTGAATAAAACAACAGTAGGGTGATCTAGCCACAAGCTAAAGACATCTTTAACACGGGCAAGGAGAGATAGGCAGGAGATGGCACCACAAGACCAGAATTAACAAGGCTGCAAATGGGATTTGACTCAGAGCACTCTCCTACTCCCAAACCCAGCCCAAGCCAGCAGTGCCYACAAGTCTGCCTGAGAGAAGAGCTGCCAGGATTCTGGAAGCCACAACCAGTCTCATCCCACTGTCCATTGGAACGGGCAGCCTGCCACAGCATSTGTCTCATTCTCATCCCTGTCACAATATCCCCTGAGAGGCTAAGCTCCAAGATATCCTCCTGTCTGGCCAGCAGACATGCCCATTGATGGAGACCAGTCTGGGATGCAGATATTTGGTCTAATACTCCCTCAAGGTACTCCRCCACCTGGGTTGCAAGGTCCTTTGAGCAGGAACCTTTCCAGACACAGAAAACATCCAAGACGACAATGGAACCACTCTGGGGAAGAGCAGCATTCCAAAACTGGTCATTCCACCTCAATCCCACACTTCCAGGTAGTCACAGTGGGACACAGACMTGCAGCACCTCCTCACCACCAACCTCACGCTCCTCTGACTCCTCGACAAAGAAGGCCTCTCCATTGTCTCCCAGYTTCATTTGCAGATCCACAGGCTCTCCGTTTATTTCGATGTCAACCTAGCAAGGGACAGAAGCAGCTTGTCCATCCGAACCCCCTCATCCACTGGAGCACAGGGGCACTTCCTGAGGGAGGGGATGGCTTGAAGTTGYTCACAGGACTGACAGCCACACAGCCTTTGAGGCAAGGGACCTCTCCCAGTTTTCCTGGAGAACACATTGTTCCCTGGAAATGGATGGGTTCCATTTGGGGGCATCCCCTCCAAAACTTGGCAAGCACCCCTCACAGTGAGCTCCCATTCCCGTCAAACAAAGTCTTTCCATAACCTGTGGGTTACAGAAGATCCTGAGAATGGAGACCCTGGAAAGGAAGTGTAGCCCCAGGGCAGGCACCACTTACCACCTTCTCCTTGGAGCGCAGCACTCCCAGCTTCCCGAAGCGCACGTGAAATGGGGAGCACTTGAAGGAGTTGTCAGGCTGCCTCACCACGACCACATCGATGCAGCCCGACAGGGTGGCGGGGTTCAGATCCTGGTACAGCTCCTTCACCCTGACAAAGACGCTCTCAGCCAGCTGCCCCATGTAGTTCATGGTTTGAGACTGMAAGTGAGAGACAGGAATGCACTCAGGTAGGGATAGAAAAGTCCAGTGGCTAAAAGAAATGTGAGTTTACTGTAGGAGAGTCCTGTCATGGCTGCAAACACAACCCTGACATTGGGCTAGGTAAGCTTCTTTCTAGAGACATTGAGGCAAACACCTGAAGGGCATTGATGAACATCAGCCAGGGCCTCTGTGAGTACCAGAAAACAGGACAGAAGCCAGAGCATCCAGCTTGGAGGAGAGATGCCTTTGCTTTTGGGATACACTGTCACATTTGCCCCTTGGGAAGATAGATACAACCTCACAGCAACACTACACAATCAAGCTGTCAACACCTCATTCAAACAAGAATTGGGCTTGCAGGAGACCTCCTGCCCTACACTGYCCTTAGAAATTCCCAAACAACTCAGGGCAGAGAGGTGGGAAGTGCAAGCTGCTGCACATACCACACATTCACTTTGAACCAAGTCCAGACCTAACATTTCCCACTCAGTGGCAAAAGCATCCCGCTTAGGCACTGCAGAATTGGCCACACATGGCTCTTCTATAAGCCASAACTCCCTGGCCTCCACATCTTGGCCCCTGCCACCATCATCCATCTTTCCCAGGGAATCCCAGTAAAGGGGCTGTGCTGCCTGGAGAACACCCTGACAGCTCTGCCACACTGCTTTCACAAGGCTGCACTCCAAGGTTGTACAGCTTCTGGTTTTCATTAGCAAGAACATGTGGAAGGAAAGCCTTGCCTACTTCCTGCGCATCCTCTTGCCTGCTCACATCCTTCAGATGCTCACTCCCTATGTGGAGACAATTCCTCTCCACCATGCTGGAGCAGAGGCCTGGCTGCCAAGCTTGAGAGCCACATGGTGGCATGCAGCACAGCCTTGTCTCCAGCCACACAAGGTGGCATACGCAGGCTTCAAACATCTCTCATGCAGCACCACTTCCTGCAGCCCAATGCTGGCAGCTGCTTCCCWGCAGTATTTCCCTGAAGAKCTCTGTTCRGGTAYTGGGTGTTGTTCCCAGGCCTTGGCCAGAGGAGCCCCTTGCTCCATTTGCTCAGCACTCGKCATCAKCAGKACAGAGCTCGTGGTGTCAGCACATYRCACCAGGGGCTGAGAACCATGGAGGCTGAGCCCAGTCCCCCCAGCTGCCAGCTCTGCCCCTCAGCTTGTCCCAGGCAGAGCAGGAAAGCACAGGATCATCACAGATGAACAAAGAGAAACCTCCTGGGCTGGCAGCACAGCCAGGCAATGGTGTGGTGTGCCCAGGGACTCTCAGCACAGTCCCCAGTGACCACTCAACCCAAAGGGTGACTGAGGGGAGTTGGTTCCTTACCCAAAGGGATGATGACAAGCATGCGCCACACGACGAGCCCTCTGCCCCAGCACGCACCCAGCCTCTCCAATCCATTTTGCAGAAGCCCAGCCCTGTTCCATTCCCACATATCCCTCCTGGAAAGCAGTCTGAATGGGCAGATGTGGTTCCCACTCCACTCCCCGTCCCCAGCCTCTCCCTGACAGCGGGGAGTAAGCCCAAATCCCAGATTCTCTCCAGAGGATGATATTAGGGAAATGCTAGCCAGCTCCCGAAGCTTCGGTGGCTCTATCAGCTCTGCTGTGAGCAGGTCACGGGGCCATTCACCATGCTGAGCCCAGCTTTCCCAGGCATTGCTGGGGTGGGCAGTCCTACAGCTGCCTTCCCTSCTGTGCTGCAGGGCCTGGCAGCAAACAGGACAGAGCTGCTCGCTGCACAGGGGAGGAACTGACACTGATGCTCCCWGGGCAGTGCTGATGAGCTCCCAGCTGGGATAAACACTGACACAGACCTGCAAAGTGCATAGGGCAAGTCCCAGGCAGAGAAATCCCAAAGGATTTGGGGTGGGAGCTTGGAAATTATCCCCAGAAACAATGCCACACTGAGCATCACCTTCATGGTGAATGCAGGGTGCAAGAGCTCAACATAACACTGCAGCCACACAGCATAACAAGTTCCAATGCCATGTCCCCTCTGCAGAGCCCTGTTCCTCCTTGCCTTCATGGGCAGCTGCCCCCTCCCTAAGCACCTTATTGCTGGGGACTGCTTGGAATGGCTCTGGTACAGTTTTCAGCTCACTGAATTTAATTTCCAGTGGGCCTCACTCAGGACAGCTGGAGRAAGGCAGGAAACGGAGAGACGAGGCTTTTCCTTCGCAGGCCTTGGCCCCACCATGGATGGAGCAGGCCTGTTAGGGAGCTGAAGGGTAGGCTGTCGTCTGGAGAGAGTCTAATAGGCAGACAGGGCAAGAGAGAGGGTCTTCAAGTGACATTCAATAAATAAACCCTCTAGAGGAATGGGGCATGTCCAGCCCTCAGTCTCCAAACCAGCCAGGATCACAGCCCTCCATGACGCAGCTCTAGCAGAGGGTGAAGGGGACTGTCCTCCCCTGTGGGGCCAACACAGCTCACACCGGCTTCTAGAGCCAACCAGCCTCCCAAAATAAACCCGCTACAGCTTGCTCTGCTCCTGGGCCAGCCCACAATAGCACACCCCTCCCCACATCCAGCCATCCCTCGCAGGCTGCACACCAGCGGGACCTGCCCCGTTACCTGGGCGGCGGCTGAGCCTCAGCACCTCCTCCACTTCGGGGCAAAGCTGAACCCCAGAGGTTCAGTTTTAGCACACCCTCAGCCCCTCCTCTCCCTGCTGCTTCCTCCCTCTGCTCGCACCGGAGCGAGGGAGGGCCGGTCTCCCCGGCAGCCCCGGTTCCCCGCCCTGCCGCCCGCCGAGCCTGTGAGGGGCCCGGGAGGCCGGGCTGGGCCTGGGGCGGCACCGGACACTGGATACCGGACACCGGACAGTGGGCACCGGACACAGGGCACCGGGCACCGGACACAGGGCACAGGGCAC